TATGCCGAGGTGAGTGCTGCACATCCGTCCATCCCTTCGTGTGTCCATTCAATCAGCTATGGCTCTCACTGTCCTAGGAGAAGAAGCCTGGTGTGACTCAGCCCCACCAGAGCTGCCTTGGCCGCATCGGTCATGTCCGAGGCCAAGCAGCCTCCAGAAAAGCCTAAGTCATCCCTGTTGGCTGGCCGCTTCACAGGTCCGTCCATCCGTCTGTCTGTCTCTCTCTCCCGCAGCTCTGGATGGGCACACACCCCCGTGGTGATGCCATCATCCGGGATAACCGCATCTCCCAAAAAACGCTGGGCCAGTGGATTGCTGACAACCCTGCCTGCCTGGGGGTGAAGGTGAAGGACGCCTTCCAGGGCCGCCTGCCCTTCCTCTTCAAGGTCCTGTCGGTCAACACCGCCCTCTCCATCCAAGCACACCCCAACAAGGTAAAGAGACCCTCAGAGTGTTGGGGGGTAGCCCCGGCTGGACCCCATGTCCCCAGGGAGGTAACCCAGCTCCTCTGTCCCCCGTCTCCAGGAGCTGGCGGTGAAGCTGCACGCCCAGTTCCCCGAGCACTACCCTGATGCCAACCACAAGCCCGAAATGGCCATTGCTCTCACCCCCTTTGAGGGCCTGTGTGGCTTTCGGCCAGTGGAGGAGATCGTCGCCTTCCTCCAGAGTAAGGATGACGAAGGAGGGCGGTCGCAGACCCCCACGCCACCTTCCCTCCCCGCGGTGGCTTCAGGGTGGGGACTGTAGCCGTGCTTACCTCAGGGTGGGGATGCCGGGTTTGCCCCATGGTGGTGGCCACCAGGGGTGACTTGCTCTGGCTGCCCTTGGCAGGTGTCCCTGAGCTGCGGGCGCTGATTGGGGAGGTGGCAGCAGAGCAGCTGGAGCGCAGTGGCAGCGATGACCCCCGTGGTGTCTCGGCTGCCCTCCGCGTCTGCTTCACCCGCCTGATGAAGAGCGAGAAGAAGTTCTTCGTCGACCAGCTCAACATGCTGGTGAAGAGGATCTCCCAGGAAGGTGGGTCCTTTTGGGGGCTGCATTTAGGGGAGGGGATGAGACACCCCTCTGCCCCCCTCCCCAACACTGTGTCTGGTTTCTGCCCGCACAGCGGCAGAAGGGAAGGACACGTCAGGGAGCAACGGGGACCTGCTGCTGCGCCTGCACTCCCAGTACCCGGGGGACATTGGCTGCTTCACCATTTATTTCCTCAACCTGGTGAGGCTGGAGCCGGGGGAGGCCATGTTCCTGGGAGCCAACGAGCCCCACGCCTACCTGCACGGAGGTGAGCATCATGGGGGGCTTTCCTCACCCAGGACCTCGCAGGGTGGCCACGGTCTCCTGCAGAAGGTTGCCCCCTCCCTGGGCTGTGCGGGAGGGCTGGGGGTGCGGGGAGGGCTGACGGCGTTGTCTCGTCCCCGCCGACTACCGGGCGTGCATGCGGTGCGCGCCGGGCTCACCCCCAAATTCATCGACGTGCTCACCTTGTGCGAGATGCTCAACTACACGCCGGCACCCAGCAGCTCCAAGATCTTCCCGGCTGCGCAGAGCCAGCTCGACCCCAGCGTCTACCTCTACGACCCGCCTGTGCCAGACTTCACCATCATGAGGATAGAGGTGAGCGGTGACAGCGAGGTACCGGGGTCCCCAGGCTGAGGTCCCTGGGCTTGTGCTGCTGTGGCCCGGGCCCAGCAAAGCATGGGAACACAGGCGGTCCCCTTCCAGTTCTCCAAAAAGAAGAGAAGCTGGAGGAGACTCCAGCTCCACTCCCTTTCCATTGCAGGTCCCTGCCTCCATCAAGCTGTACCTGGTCTCCGCTGTGGATTCTGCCAGCATCTTGCTGGTGATCCAAGGGACGGCTGTGGGCACCTCCACAGCTGCAGCCTCTGAAATGAGTCTGCGGCGCGGCTCCGTGCTCTTCATCTCCGCCAACGAGAGCATCTCCCTCCACCTCTCCTCACCCGATGGGGTGCTGAAAAAAAAATCCCTCCTCTGAGCGGGACCCGGGATGCTTCCCACATTCAAGTAGCTAGAAACTGGCCTGGACAAAGTCACCTTGCTTGGAAGTTGCCCTCTCCATCTATTAACCGCCCCCCTAAACAGCTCCCACCCCATGTGTAGAGAACAAGTCCACAAATTGACTCCTTGGGCGGGCAAGAGGAAGAGCATTTTCCCTCGCAGCTCATGAGCCACCTCCTCATAGCATCGTCCTCCCTGGGTGCTAATGACATACATTGACTCTTTTTATTAACTTTTTTCCCCCTCCTTCCCTCTCGCTGAGAAGCAGCAGGGAAGCCCAAGGTCTGCACCCCAGGTGTAAAAGGGGGCTGCTCGGCAGGGCAGTGGAGCTGGAGAACCTCCAGCGCTGTGAATAAAGTGGTGACTTTGTCCTCAGCACAGGGCAGCGTGGTGTAGGGAGCAGGAGGAGGATGGGGAGAAGCCCTGGGTCAGGGAAGAAGCCCAAGCGAGGGGAGCGGGGCTCAGCCCCCCGCCACAGCACCAACACACGCTCCCAGTAATGAGATCCAGTTTATTGAGTGCTCCATTCCACAATGAAAATACAAAAAAACCACAAACAAACAAACAAGCCCAGTTCAGGTCTCTAGACATCAAATATTTAAATAAGGTTTCTTTGTAAGAAGCTGATTGTCCTCCGGAGTACGACAGGACCATGATTTAAGGCAGCTTTTAAGGTTCGCAGCAGGTAGACACTCCAGCCACCCCAAATCCGCACCCAAAAGGAGCCATGCAGAGCTTGCGGGGGTCTGTGTGGTCCACCCCATCGTATTTTCTCCCTCAGAGCTGCAATCTTTGGTTCAAATCAGCCCAGGTTTTAGGAGGAGGAAACCCAGCTGCGATTAATTGCGAGTAGCACAAGCTCAGTAAACGAAGCAGCTCTGCCAGCCGACCCCAACCTTGCTGGCTTGGCCTCAGCCCGCCAGGGAGGAAGAGGCACTAAAGCGAAAATAAATAGAAAAGGGGCAGAAAACTGCCCCACACCACAGCAGTTTGACCCCACCATCAACCACCTCTTCATCAGGAAGGACAGCCCGTGTCCAGGGCCAGGTCCTGATCCTCACTTAAAGGAGGAAAAGAAGAGGTGACACAAACAGAAAAGCGTTTGCTGCTGCACCTCCCAATTCCTTCCCTTTATACCCCAGAGAGGTGTCTGAGCTCTGCCTCTCCTCCCTCTCCACTCCAGCCAGGCGACAGGTCACCTAAACGTCACCGTGCCACCTCTTCCTGGTATTGCTGAGTGTAAGGAAAACCCCTTTGGGGTTGGTTGGCTGCTGCTGCTCACGACGAGCAGCATCATTTGGTCCTTGTGTCCCCGTCCCACGGGACAAAGCCATCCCACAGGACACAGAAAGTGCTGGTGTTTGACCTGTTCTTGCACGGCCCCGGCCGAGCGGTGTCTACTGGATCACACAGGGGAGAGAGTCACCGAAACAACAAGGGCAGGAAGAGGAGGCGACGGGTTTCGGAGGGATGAGATCCAGATCTTCATCATCGGGGACCTCGTCGAGGTGGTACCCGTCCTGCAGCAGCTGCCGGCTCAGGTCCTGGTTCACTTGCTGGAGGGTGGGAAACGAGGCAGAATTGGTTAAAATTAGTCCCAGTTTTATTAAAATTTAGGTCCCAGGGCTTGCTGCAAGCATGAAGAGCATTGCATCCTCCCTCCAGTGCCTTGGCACATAGGGAAGCAGCAAAACCAGAGCAGAGAAGACAAAAACAAAAGAGCAAAGAGCTGCAGCACCCTCGCACTGGTGGAGCTTATCAGCTGCCCCGCTGCAGGGTCTGGGGGTGGACGATGCTTTAGGTGAAAAGGGTGAAGCAGAGGTCTGCTCATACGTGCCCTGTAGGGTGATGCTTCATTTCACCCGCTGTAGAGACCCCGAGGCTTTAATGGGGACAAGGGGACCCGTGCTGTCGGGGTCAAAGCCCTGGACTTGCCTCTGCAGAGGAGTAGCCTGAGGAACATCTGGATCCTGGTTCCCCGTCACTGGGAGAAGAAGGAAGCAGTCAGAGGCGACCGGGAAGCAGCAGTTTCACTTGGGATGCAGACAAGGGAATCACAGAGGGTGGGGGAAAAAGGGAGCTGGCAGCAGAACCCCAAAGGATTTGTTAAATTTGGGACAACAGAAGAGTTTTACTGCTGAGAGGCACGCAGTGCAAGTGAGGATGCTTTACAAGGAAAGTAGAATCCCAAAAGGAAAATGAATTCCCCCCAAAAAAGGCAGCTGTGAGTCTGCAACACCCTCCCAACCCCAAATCCCCAGATATTCACCAAGTCCCCACCTGTCTGAATCGAGGGAGACCAGGTTTTCATCCACCATCTGGCTGAGCGCCATGTAGCCCTTGTTAAACTTCACTGACCTGCCAGAAAGCAGAGGAGCGAGCCCACGACGGGTGTTTTGGTGTGGAAATGCAGCCACGAGCAGAAAAGCCAGGGCAGGAATCCCAGTCCTGAATGTCCCTTCCCACCCAAGCACTGTCCAGGGCCACCACCAGCTAGAAATAAACTCCATCTAGGCTACCTGATCAAATCCTTTACACCAAAACATCCCCAAAACAAAAAGAAGGACCATGGCCGTGTTTCAGCAAATTCCAACTTTTGCAGGAAAAGCGTTCTCTTTTCTTACACTGGATGTTGAACGCAGAGTCAGCACATTAAGGTCCCAAAGTAATTTATTTATTCCTCCCAGTCTCCCCAGGGAATGTGAAAAACACATGCCAGGAGAAGGAAAACGGGATCAGACCTTTTAGGTGCCAGCTTGGGGCGGTGCGGTGCGGGTCCCCCCAGCAGCCCCTGCCTTCGCAGCGCTGCCTTCGCCAACTCGCGCTGCCGCTCTGAAAGCCAAGCACAGGGGCAGAGCTGAAAACCTCCATGGGTTTTCCACATTTAATTTTTTTTTTGTATGGTTTTATCACACTAAGGAATAAAAAGGCTTTCAGTGACTCCCCACATCCTGGCAGAGTACCTGGGGTGACACCGAGCATCACTTACGGAGCCTGGAGTGAATGGAGGGAGCTTTGCTCATGATGTACGGCCCCCTCTTCTCCACTGCATCTGCTGCCTTGGTCAGCCTCTTGCTTTCAGCCCAAATCAGCTAACAAAAAAAACCCATAAACCAAAAAACAACCAAAACAAAACCAAACCAAACCACACACAAAAAAACCCAAACACAAACAATCCCAACAAACAAGGGAAAGAAGCAAATTTAGTAGTGTTTCAGTGGGGATGAAGTAAACTGGAGTCATTTCAGAGCACGGGAACTTAATGTCAGCGGGGAAACTGGCTGGGGAGGGGAAGGAGGGGGCGGGCAGAGGAAGAGGAAAAAGCAGATCTATGAGCAGATCATGGGATTATTTGGGAATGGCAACGCTAAATTAAAAGCGCCCATGCTGACCGGCAGTTTCTTAGCAAGCGTAACCCCAATAATAATCGGGAGATGATGCGACGGAGGAGGTTTAACTAGCAGGTTCAGCAAATCAAATATAAGAATACTTTATTTTAGTTTCGACACAGGTTTTGAGCCTCTCAAGCTTTCACCCGGGCAATAATAAAACCACATCACTGAAACAAAAGCAGCGTCATATAATCGGGTCTGAGGGTCAGGGCTTTAAGGAAAAGCCTCCCCTGTCTGTAAGGCGTTTAGTCTCAAGGACAGCCGAGGGGCGAAAAGTTCTACAATTAAAAGAACTAATGAGGAAAACAGGGGAAAAAAAAACAGACAACGGGGT